TTGCTTTCTTCTCGTTCATTTCTAACCAGAGCACTTTTTTAAGGGTTGGGACAGCTTTTGAAAAAATGAAGGCGAATTTTAATATTAGCAGGGCCCGAATCAACACATGCTTTGTAGTCATTAAAATGCAAAATATTAGTTAAAATTCATGTCAATAACAATAACAACAACAATAGCAATAAAAAGCCTCGACTGTTTTCTACTAATTATTCATTTTCTAGATTTTTTTTTCATGATAAATTTTAAATTCCAGGACAATCAACAAGTCTGACAAAAGATTTGGTGGAGGAAGGAATTTTAAAATTACAGAGCATTCTTGGTTTGTCTGTATTAATGGAAGGAGTCAGAGAAAAGATAATCCTAAAAGGGATGCAAGAGTTTTTAAACATAGGGACGCCTGGGTGGCTCAGTCAGTTAAGCGTCTGCCTTCGGCTCAGGTCATGATCCCAGAGTTCTGGGATCGAGTCCCGCATCGGGCTCCCTGCTCCGCGGGGAGCCTGCTTCTCCCTCTGCCTCTGTCTCTCATGAATAAATAAATAAAATCTTAAAAAAAAAAAAAGAGTTTTTAAACATAAATTAGATTTTTCTGGTTTGTGACTTAGACTAGATTTGTAAAGCAAAGCACCAAATTGTAATTTTGCTTCTTTTTCTTTAAAAAAATGTTAGTAGTCACTTATGTAACTTTATAGGAAAAATTAATATATGAGGATGCATTTATATTAGTTTAAATTTGCTTCTAGTTTGTATATATACAGATATGGTTCTGAATAGTTGTAATCAGGGTGATGTCTCTGTGTGTCCACTCCTTTCATGTACCATATTTTATATTAACATAACCCATGTGCTTAATTTAACATTTTTTGAAAAACATAAGAGGACTCTAATACCTTTGCACTTCGGTATAATTTTGAATGGTTCTTTCTGCTACCATTTTCTTATTTTGAATAACATACCTTATTTGGGGGTACTTAGGTTAATTCTCTTTTTTCCCACCCTTAAAATAGAAGTACTATGAAACTCTTTATGAAATTGCTTTGTCCTTTGATTCCTTGGAGTGTAATGAAGATAAGCAAGGTCATTCATTAGGTCAAAAATATGCATGGTATTATGGCTCTTTTTACAACTCTGTTCCCAATTTATTTCCTAGAACGGTGGCTTTTCAGTGGATGGGGAGAGACTATGTGTAGTTTGAAAAAACATACTCAAAATTTAGTTGAATTTTATATTTTAAAATTATTATTTCATAACAAGCTACAGAAAACAAAACATGAAATTTTGTTGGAGAAGAGGAAGTACATGGTTCAGAAACACTGCTCAATGAAGACTGAAACAATTGAAAAAGCTTCAGCTTGTATTTATTTTTTTCCTTAAAAACTTTTATTTATTTTGAAATTAAAAACGTTTTTACTGAAGTATAGTTAACATGCAGTGTTAGATTAGTTTCAGGTGTACAGTATAATGATTCAACAGTTCTATACATTACTCAGTGCTCCTTACGATAAGCGTACTCTTAATTCCGAAAACAGAGACTGAGTGACTACGGAGGAGGTGGCACAGAAGTGCCCTAGATGAGTGCAAGAACCTAGCTTGACTTTGCAGAAATTGCCATCAAGAATCCCAATAAGGTGTGGGCATTCTTTTTGCATTTTCATCAGTCCACCTGTAACTGTAACGTTCTTACAAATCACCCGGAGATCTTGTTAAAATACCGATTCTGATTCAGTGGTTCGCGGGCAAGGCCTGAGACCCTGCATTTCTAACAAGTTCCCAGGTGATGCTGATGTTATTACCCTGGCAATGTAATTTGGATGGCCCCTTTTTGGATCTCTTGCATCTATGACCACAGGGTAACGAGAATTGAGTACAGGGGATTCTCGGTCAGTGACTTCAGTGACTTGAAAGTGGAAGAGATGAACTACTGGTTTATTTGAGGGGTGAAGCGATTCTGCTCATTCAGAAATCTGAGGGGCGGGGGAGTAGGAAATTGTTAATATTAGATGGGTTAATCACAAGAAGTTTTAGGTGCCACTGACACCAGGTTGTTCAGAGACTGAGGGAGGTAAGGGCTTTTGAAGTGGTACTCAGGTTCCTGCTGCTTAACTGAAAGTGAGATAAGATCAGATTCGTTAGGAAACAATTTTCAAAACAGACTCATTTATTTTGACTAAATGAGGCTGAATGATAGTAGGGAGATAGATTCTTTGTATTTTTAGAGACTCGCTGTTTTAGAAAGTGAAAACTGGTTGCTTACGATTTTGCTTGCATCGTCGCTGAGATTTTAAATAATGCATTTCCACATCACCTTTAATGATACTGAATTGCTGCCATTAATCGCTTCCCAGAGGGAAATTGGAACGAAGGACCTATGCTATTTCTCTGCTTGTATCTCCATTTTGCTATGTGACTTTAAGAAAATCACTTAAAGCTTTAGGTTTCGAGTTCCCATGGTGAAAAATGGAAATCAAAGCCCTCACCTTGTTCCCTGTAGAGTACTTACTGTAATCAGTGGGCTTTGAGGTAGATTTTGTTGCTTAAAAAAATAAGACTTTAACAATGTAATATTATATATTTATTTAGCATATTACGTATGCATATATCAAGCTATTTTATGTATGATCTAAATATGCTGGCAAACCTTCATAACAAAAATGAAACATTTCCTATAATCACACCAGCAATTAAATTGAATTTTTTTGGTTTCACAAATTGAATGAACCTGATCATAGTGTTTCAGATGTATTTTTTTGTCCTTTAGATAATCAGTACTGATGGATATTGATTAAAGATTCAGTAATTTAATGCACATTTTTAAAAAGATTTATTTATTCATTTGAGAGAGAGAGTGCGTGCGCACGCATGCAAGTGGGGGCAGGGGCAGAAGGAGAGGGAGAGAGAGAGGGAGAGAGAGAATCTCCAGCAGACTCCCCGCTGAACACAGAGCCCAACGCAGGGCTCAATCCCATGACCCCAAGATCATGACATGAACTGAAACCAAGAGTTGGACACCCAACTGATTGAGCCACCCAGGTGCCCCTACTCCACATATTTAAAGACTTTGAGTTCTAAAGGGAATTGATGGTAAGTGAGGTCAATTACTTGAGGATGACCCTCTGTTTGGAATGCTTTAGAATCATCTGTTCTTTAAAGTTTAAATACATTTGTTTTTACCAAAGTTTAACATGTATTCTAACCAAAGATCTATAGTGACCTAAACTTGCGCCTAAGAATAACAATCAGAAAATGTCTAAAATAAAACTGTGTTGATCCAGAGAATCTGATCCATACTCCTATTCATAATTTGAAATAATTCAGAACAAAGTTTACCCTACTTTTCTATGAAGTCAAAGTTTCTTAGGCAGATTATAATCTACATCCATTATAGTATGGTGACCAAGAGCTAGGGCTCTAGAGTTAAACAGGCCTGATTCAAATCCCATCTTTGTTGCTTGATCTCTAGTGTGGTTCTCGTTACTTAGCTTCTCAAAGTCTCAGTTTCCTCATCTATAAGATTAATTTTACAATATAAAGCTCACAGGATTGTCGTGGGGTCCAAAAGAGATAATAATGCATGTGCTATGGACTGAATTGTGTCCTCATCAAATTCCTATGTTGAAGCCCTAACCCACATTGCGGCTGCATTTGGAGATAGGCCTTTGGAATATAGTTAAGGTTAAATGAGGCCGTAAGGGTGGGGCTCTAATCCAATAGGATGGGTAGCCTTATAAGAAGAAGAGAGAGAGTCTCTCTCCATGCACACACAAGGAAGAGGTCATGTGAGCTCACAGCAAGATGGTGGCTGCCTACGAGCCAAGAGAAGAGGCCTCAGAATGAAAGCTATGTCGCTGGCACCTTGATCTTGGATTTCCAACCTCCAGAACTGTGAGAAAATAAATTTCTTTTGTTTAAGCCACCTGCTCTGTGGTATTTTGCTGTGGCAGCCAAAGCAAACTAATACAGCATCTAAAACTCTTGGCATCAATTATAGTTGTACAAGTATGCTTACACACTGAGTGATGGTGGAGAATGTTTACCCCAAAGGACAAGTTGCTTTCAAGTACTTTAGCAGGAGTCTTTTCTGAAAAATTTTATTTATTTTTGAGAGAGTAAGAGAGAGAGAGAGAGCAAGCGGGGGGAGGAACAGAGGGAGAGGGGCAAGCACATTCCGTGCTGAGCGCAGAGCCAGGCTCGGGACTTAATCCCATGACCCCAAGATCATGACCTAAACTGAAACCAAGAGTTGGATGCTTAACCAACTGAACCACCCAGGTGCCCCAGGAATTTTTTTAATTCAAATTTCTATTCTTACTATATTATACTGTAAAGTAACTATAATAGTAATATTATAGAAATATAGTATTATATTTATTATATTTATAATTAATATTATTATTTCTATTAAGTGGACCTGATAGTACCTTTTCCCAGTAAAATATTTTTCACCTAAAGCCTCTATATGTACTTAAAAGTAATATGACCACACTTTGGGGACACCTGGGTGGCTCAGTCAGTTAAGCGTCTGCCTTCAGCTCAGGTCGTGATCCCAGGGCCCTGGGATCCAGCCCCGCAATGGGCTCCCTGCTCAGCGGGGAGCCTGCTTCTCCCTCTGCCTGCCACTCCCCCTGCTTGTGCACTCTCTCTCTCTCTGACAAATAAATAAAATCTTTAAAAAAATGACTACACTTTCTTCAATCTATTTAATAAACCATGATTTTTACTAATTACAACACATCTCTAGTTTCTTTCTGTCCAGTCTCTCAACTAGACAAATCCTCAGGAGTGTGAGCTCCCATATTTTAAAAAAGGGAAAAGATAAAGAAGGCTCTCTAAAAACTGTGATTAGCCAGATATAATATGCAAGCAAGTTAGATCCCCCAGGTTTTTCTTCCTGTGAATGCAGTGGTGCCAATTATGTAACATTTATGTGGAATAGTTAAGCTCAAATTTAGAGCATCTGTTGTTCTTTTGGATTGTTTCAGTAATTGAAGTTTATTCTTTCACAGGTATCAAGGTTACATTTATACATACCGAGTGTCCCAGACAGAAACAGGTTCTTGGAGTGCTGAGGTATAGCTTTTTTATTATTTTTTGCTTCTGGGGGTATCAGGGAGGTGTTTGAAATTTAAGCTGGCTTTATAAAAGAGTTGTCAAATCCTACTTTCCCCAAATATTCATCAGATTCAAATCACTAAAGCTCCAACCCCAAATTGTTCATGGGTCTTAAGAAGGCTTTAGAGAATTTTTGTCCCAGTTCTGTTCAGCCACCATTGTATAGAATGGTCTCACTTTGGGGAAAATATAAAAAAGTTGAAGGATTGTGTCAAACTTTTAGTGCCTATGCAAAATTTTAGAAAGCATATACAAAATGTGTATTATGGTTAAATAAGCAATTATTTACCAAATGATACCAATATGAGCATTGGATCAATGGTGGATTAAACAACATGACTCCTGTTTTCTAAGAGCCTCTATCTAATACCCCTGGGGAGATACAACATGAATTCAAGAGCGATGTGAGAGCTCAGAGTTTGTCGTCAGGTAGATCTGGGTTCCAGGTCTGGAACCCCCTCCTCCCTGACAGGTCTGTGAACTTGGGCAGGTTACTTAACTTATCCCTGAACAAATTTCTTCATCTGTAAAATGAGCCTAAAAATAGTGCCTTGCTCATAGGGTTCATTTTGAAGATTAAATGGGATAATGCTTATAAAAGAAAGCTCTTAGCTACAGGACCTGGTACATAGTAAGCCCTCAAAAATGTGAACTCACCCAAACTGCTGGACAATATGATTGTATGTAGTCAATTGCTATGTTATCTAGCATAGGAGTTCAAAGAAGGGAAGATTTTCCGAGGATTAGTAATCAAGATTGCTCTTTGTGTGGAGGCAGACTCCTAGCTGGGCCATGTGGGAAAGACAAGGGTAGGCAGAATAAAATTAGAGGGAACATTGCAGTGGTTTTAAAGGTACGCTCTCCAAAATTCTAAAGTTCTTCCAACTGGGTGCCATGGGGCAGCCGGGAGTGGGGGTCAGAGGGAGAGGGGGACAAAAGTGGATATGCTTTTGGGTGCCCAATTCATCTTTGATCCGAAAGGTTCACCTTTGTTTTGCTTATCAGCTGGGGCTCGGATAGGATTTCATTAGAAAAATGGGCTCTGATGGCTTTGAAAACATTTGAAAGTCACTATACCGTTGCAAGTAATGCCCACAGAGCGAATTTATTTCCATGTACCAGGGTAGGATATCACATCTTACCAATGTAGAGGTCTCTACAACTGAAACCTTTGACCTCAAATGCTTTCTCAGATTTCTGACTCTTTAAAAACAGCCTGTCTTTATAATGAAAGCACTTTATTATGAGGTGTTTGAAAACATAAATGCAACTATCAACCTCTGTTAATAACTCAGTCTATGCGCTTAAGAAATACTAAAGTCTAGACTTAAAAAAAATTAAAATAGCTCTAACCTTTACAAATTCATCAGTAAACTAGAAAGCCCAAGTTGCAGACTACAGATGTTTTAAACTACAGAGATGAATTAGGGCAAGTTTTCAAACATGTTGCTTTATATCATAAATAAATAATTCATTAATAATAATTAATAATAATTAATTACTTTATAATTATCACAGATAATTAATACTGTGATACTAATTAGAGGCAAAGCAGTAACATTTCTAATCAAAACGATTTACACCCGTTTATATTTTAAAATTCTCTGCAGCACTGCAGAGATGATTGAATCAGAAATTAAATTTCATTTATCATGAAGAATAGTTGTTTGTGATATATACATATATATTTGTATATACTTTGATTAGAAATAGGCTTTCTCCCTAGAGAAGTAGCCTTCGGCTGCTGAAGAATATTCTTTATGGAAAGGGCCTTAAATTATTAGGGTTTAGCTAATCTTGTCTTTAAATTTGTTTTCTTCTATTTCAAGTATAGTATCATATGCGGATTGTTACATGCTTGTGATCATGTTAAGGAAGAAAGGGCTTATTGAACATAAATGTCCTTTCATCCTGTTGTCTGGCCTGACCCCATGTTGTAATTATCTGCACCAAGAGAGCAGAAGATTGGCATGTTTTCTCCAAAGGGAAAACAGTTTTTAAAAAATGCCTTAGATTTATTTTTGAAATGCATATTGCATTTTTTCTATCTACTAAATTTGCTTTCTTAGTTATGTTTTTTTGTTAAGGGAATATTAAACTAGTGTGTGTTCTCAGAGCTCATATCACCTGACTGGAAGAAATTTCTCCAGAGCATATTGAAGACCAGCTGTGATCCAAAACATGTTTCCATGGATAACTAAGAGGTGGCAGTATGGGAAATGTGCAAATTTGAACAATAGCTGAGTTCAGTGACAGAATGGGAGTTGTCAGTGGTACGATTCTTGTGGTAAATGTATTTTCAAAATTGGTTAAATGACAGATATTTATACTGCTTTTTGGAACAGTGCTTTAGTTTGCCACACAGCAGAAAAAATCAATGAAATTTTAACTCTGGATCCCCCGAATTATGAAAGACAAATATTATGTGAATATCTACTTTTAGATAGACTTTTAGGTTTTATCATTGCCTAGTGTATTAACTTATCTCATGAGACTCAGGCTAAAATTTTGCTAAATTGTGAATTTAGAGAATTCTATACACAGTCAACTGTCATTTATTGATATGTGCATTGTCATCAGTATATTGTAAAAAAAAAAATGTACTAGGGTGCCTGGGTGGCTCAGTTGGTTAAGTGTCTGCCTTCGGCTCAGGTCATGATCCCAGTGTTCTGGGATCGAGCCCCGCGTCGGGCTCCTCAGTGGAGAGCCTGCTTCTCCCTCTTCCTCTGCCACTCTCCCTGCTTGCGCTGTCATGCTCTCACTCTCATTCTATCTCAAATAAATAAAGAAAATCTTAAAAAAAAAAAGTACTAAGCTCCCCCTGTGGACTTCAGTGCCTTTGGGCTTTTCTGGATATTTGATCATCAGTAGATCAGTAGATGCTAAATAACTTTACATATTAACCTAAGCAAAACACTGTAAATTAGGATAGTCATTTGCCAGCGAAACATTGTATCCCATGTTCAAATTGTACATCCAGTGCTATTATTCCTTTCTGTTAGTGTGGATAATCAAGCGTTAACTGCATGTTAAGTCCCCATAAAAAAGATGTTTCTGTTGATAAATGGTTTTACAAGCCACAAGAACAGCTAAAAAGATGTGTGGTTTGAAATCTTTCCACACTGGGGGAGTGTACAGTTTCTCTTCTGGTTGGTGACTCTAACTTCTCTAGAAACTGTTTGGTCTTACCCTCTCTGTTGGTGAACTCATTGTGGGTATTGGCCTGAACAACAAAAGACTGGGTGCTGGGATCTAGAGCCAGTTCTGCTTCTGATTATCTGTGTGACCCTGGGCAAGCTGAATTATCCCTTTGTATTTCCGTTTCTTTTTCTTTTCTTTTTTTTTTTTAAGTAGGCTTCACGCCCAGCGTGGAGCCCAGTGCGGAGCTTGAACTCACAGCCCTAAGATCAAGACCTGAGCTGAGATCCAGAGTCGGTCGCTCACCTGACTGAGCCACATAGGCACCCCTGTATTTCCATTTTCTTATCTGTCAAATGGGAATAAGCAAATCAGCAGATCATTGCCAATTTGTGAGGAAATAGTGGAGGCAAATGACGGGAAAGTGCCTGGAATTGAAAAAGTACTGTGAGGAAGATATAAGGAGGTATTTTGTGCCTATGACCTGCCCATGCCATTTAGAGATTCTGTCTTGGAGCCAAAGAACTGTTTGGAGCCCTGTAAGAATGGCCATGGTATTTTGGATGAGGTCTCAAGTCGAGTTCTGGGAAGGTTTTTTTTTTTTTTTTTAAAGATTCAGTTCTTTATTTTAGAGGGGGTGGGGAGGGGCAGAGGGAGAGGGGGAGAGAGAGAGAATCTCAAGCAGACTCCCTGCTGAGCACAGAGCCCAGTGCAGGGATCGATGCTGGTTTTGATCCCCATGGCCCTGAGATGCTGACCTGAGCTGAAACCAAGAGTCCGCCGTTCAACTGACTGGGACACCCAGGTGCCCCCAGTTCTGGGAAGGTGTTTTGACCATAGGGGTGGAGCTGAGAGAGAGAGAGTGTTCTACATCTACTGAGGCTCTGGACTCTGTGAGCCTCCCAGTAGACACTAATTTAAAGCTAAAAAGAACTTTTTCAGTGCTTTCAAAAAAAAAAAAATACTTGCCCCAATGTAGGAAATGACTGTGAGTTACTATGGACAGCGTGCTGTCTTCAGCTTTTCGTCTAGTTGGCTGAAGTTTGCTCACCAGCCTTCATGTTTTCTCATTAAATGCTAACAAACAAACAGCTCCCACCTCAAGAATCTTCCAGATGGAATAGCTGAAAAACAGCTTTCAAAAAAAACCCTGGTCATTGTTCAATTGCTTATAGCAATACTATTTTATTTTATGTAAAATGACAGTTTTGAGCTGATGCCTAAAGCTGGGCTCATAAGCTTTTGCAGGAAATTGTTATTTTCAGCAGTGCCTTTGCAACAGAATTGATGTCAGGAAAGGAATACATTTTAATAGTCACTTGCAAATAATGATCTCTTAAAAGCAAACAAACAAATAAATAAAGGTGACCTTATATAGTCTTTCATTTTCGTGTCATAGAGAAAACCTTGTCACGGTGAGGTGTTGGCAGAGAGCAATTTTGGGGAGGATAGGGAAGTTTCCTGAGGAGGAAAAAATTCAATATGAAGGATGAGGCAGTACGTATGGTGAGGGGAGAGTCTGGGGACTAACTAGCTATGTGTTGTGTGTATCATAACGGTCAATTTTTAATTTCCTGCGTAGCATTTTTATTGTGGAATGATGACTGGGAGGCTAGGTTGCTGTTGTTGGTTTGTTTTTTCAGTCTTTTTATTAATGACCTGTACGATCTGTGTTTTTTCTGTGTTTAACTGCATCTTCTCTGTTGGTGCATTCATTGTGGGTAATGGCCTGTATACCCTTAGAGGCTCGGGATGTGTGATGGGTAGCAGGCAGGAAGGGCAGGAGCTTGTACAAACTAATACCACCCTTGGGAGAACTGAAATGACAGCTCATTAGCTCCTCTTGCAGGGAAGTTCAGCCAACCAAAGTAAGCTCTGCTAGAAATGTTGTTTTTCCTTCTTCCTTATGTTTTCAAATATTTGAACAAGTTATACAAATGTTACCGATCTAAGCCTCCCTCACACATTTTGTAGGCCTATTTATATCATTCGGAGGTAGGTGAATAATTTGCTTGGCCTTTTATTTTCCAGACAGCACCTGGGGTTCATAAAAGATTTTTCCGGAAAATAAAAAATCTCATTTCAGCATTTCAGAAGCCAGATCAAGGTATTGTAATACCTCTGCAGTATCCAGTTGAGAAGAAGTGCTCAGTTAGAAGTGCACAAGGTACTACAGGTATGGTTCACTGTCAATTTTCGACAGGGCTTGGCAGCTTGGGGTTATGAGTCAACCTGTTCATAAATATAAAGTTATGGGAAGTTCCGTAAGCAACATGCAGTGGGGAGGTAGGTGTTGCCAGCCAGTCGAGCGAGGGGGGACTATTCACAGGTTATGATTTCAATAGGCTCCACTGTAAACTTTTAATAAAACTCCGGGAAAATATAAAGAATTCGATGAGCCCACAACATTTAAACCCCTCTTTTCCGTCTTGTTCTCCGCCGTGTCCCTTTTGTCAACACCGAAGTACCATTTCACTTCACTAACTTAGACACAAAACGTTTGAAGGATGGGATAGTTCCGACAACACCTGGGCCGTCCTTCACCTTTGCTTAGTAAACGATACTTTCTTTCCCTTTAGGGAAGGAAAGACTAATGTTAGCGTGGCCCACGTGATCCTCATTTCTGAATTTGTGGTGCTTGAATTAATGACATTTTATTGGAGCGAAGGAAACTAAATTAGTACACGCTATTAGGCTACAGGCACACGTTGTCCCATCTCCTGAGCGAAGCTATTTTAGTGTATGTATCAAGCTGACGACAGAATACTGGTCAATATCTGCAGCTATGTGATTGTCTATTCATCTACTGAAAGGGGTTAATCACTTGTTTGGAGTAAGAGGCTATGCCTTGATTGAAACAATAAATATTTATGATTAGAAAAATGAGTTGTTATGTCCCTTTTTGACAGGGACCCAGGCTGAGGCATAAACTGACAATTAGACTTAAGTGCTGAATTAAATTAATGAGTAGTTAGCCTTTATAATAGAGATATAAATAGAACTCCAATTTACAGATTACACATTACAATTACAAACTGTTCCTTTCTGCTCCGTATTCCATTCTTTATAACTCAGTTTTAAGTACCGGTTGCTTGAGCTGTATCACCGGGTTATATCTTTGTGAGCTTTATGCCATTGGAAATTTTATGATTATAAGTTCGAGTTAACCTGCAATTTTAATAGCTTGTAAGTTTATCTTTTCTTGATTTTCGTGATTATTTTTCTTTAGGGAGAAGAGAAGATCCTGATGTCTTCCTGAAAGCACCATGAAGAAAAATCAAATACCTTGTACTTTATTTTCTATAATTTAAATCTATGCTAAGTCTTATATATTGTAGATAATACAGTTCAGTGAGCTACAAATGTATTTCTAAAACCATCATAGTCCCGTAATGGAAGTCTCTAGCATGATGCAAAAGCTGAAATGGACTTTGCCGGTAATGAGACGCTTTGAAATGAGGTTATTTTCAGTGTTATTTACAAATGGGAAACGATTTAAAACATAATGGTACTTTAGAAAAGATTAATGTCAATTCTTGCCAAATATAAATAAAAATAATCCTCAGTTTTTTTCTCAAAATCACCATTTTTTAGTGAAATATTATTTGACAGCTACTGATTTTAAAATGTCTTGCTTGATTAGATGGCAGGAAGCCGGTTCGTGTCCCTCGTCTTTGTCATTAGGTATTACGCTCTCCACTGGCTATGGTGGTGTAGGGTCTTTGGGGATTTATGAAGTTGTGCACTGTGTGTTAAGACAAGTACTGGATAAAGAGGGAAGAATTTCTGTTTAATTCTAAAAGCAACCTTTTCGCCTAGTGTCCTGAAGTTGGATAGCAGAATCCACAGACCAATCTGGAGTTTAAAAATCCCGTAATTTAAAATACGCTCTAAATGTTGATTACATTTGATATTACAGGATTTTTCATCTACCTCTACCCCAGTTGTTGGTACTCCACGTAAAACCTTATTTTGAAAGGAAACTTCAGCAGCTGTGCTCCTGAGTAGCTGATTTACAAGCGATCTCCCTATTAGGTAGCCCTATGGGAGCCCTGAAAACCTTACAGTTGTGTTTTTTTTTAACAATTCCAAGCGACGGCAACCTAAGTGAGAGCCAAGATTTTACACAGTGACAGATATTTATATTTTTTCTCACATGTATATTTTCATGACTTTTGTGATTTGATTATATATCAAGTTGTTTCGGGGCTCCTAGAATTCACTCACTCAACAAACACAGTAGGCACTGGGGTAGAGAAGTAAAAACACCCAGCCCCTGTGCTCAGGCAGCTCGCTCTCTAGTTGGACAAGAAAACAGTAACAATTAAAAAAAAGTACAGAAAAAGAGCAAAAGATGTCAATAAAAGGTGATAAGCACATGCTAAGTGAGGTTCCCACTGTGTAGGTGGATCTGTTGTTAGAGGCAGAATGAGTCAAGACAAATACTCTGGTCCGTGGTCCATAGGAAAATGCTAAGTTCTGTTATAAACTAATAAATTGGAATTCTGGGTTGTACACGAGTCGGGGTGAGCTTGATGAACTGCCGAGAGACAGAGCTACTCTCCGTGCACTGGCAAGATCTGGTGTCTGAGCATTTAACATGGATGCAGTGCGAGTGCCGACGTGGAGTTGGGCCATTTACCATTTCTAGAAATAAAGGCATCACTTTAACTTGTGAAGGAATTCAGAAAGCTAACTTTCAAAACAAAATGCGTATGTTTAGATAATTTTTCCTTTTTTGTAGCTTGGGTTTAAATTTTAATAGGTGTAACTAATTTTCACTCTCTCTAGCTTGTTCATTCTGGAATAATCCTAAATACATGAATTATGTTTGCATGTTTCTTTACCAGAGTCTTTTTTGAAAAAGCTTTTTTGAATCATTAATGGTCTTTCATATTTCAATAAAATATTTGAAAGCTTTATTTACCTAATTTGTCTTAAAATATTTTTAAAAAATATTCAGAGATAGGTGCTATGAATGTATTAAACAAAGCATTGATGAAAGCCATCTTATCTTATTGGACAGATACCCTGAAAAAGGTAAGTGCTTTTTTCTGGGTCTGCTACTGTCAAACTTTCCAGTTGATGTGCCTACCCACTGTCTTCTTTTGCTGGCCTTTTACTCATAAAGTTTTTTTCACTTTTTCTCTCCCAGCATAAGCATTCTTGCTATTTCCCAGTACATAATAGCTTGCGGCTTTACAGAAAGGTCATATTCTTGCCGTATCTAAAATATTGCCATGCTAACATATACCTGTAAGATGCTGAGTCAAGATAGAAAAATGCACATATATTTCCAAGTGTACACCTTTCTTCAGAAAAAAAAAGTGTGTCAGCAAGCCCACAAGAACATGACAGTTTATCAAACACTCATTCATTTCCTCTGAGTTTGTTCTTAAGAGATAAGGTCAGTAAGGGAGACAAGCTTAGGTAATTGTCAGTTTGGCTATTACAAGCAAGTAAGCTTTGTGGTAGTACATAGGTAGAAGAAGTCTACAGAGGATGCCTCTGATTAAGACTTCTAGTGTAAATGGAGGGCTGGATTGAAGATAATTTGTGGTAGAGCAGATAGAGAATTAAAAATGTGAGAAATAGCTTTAAAATCTGTTAAGAAGGTTTAGACATCAGCTCATGTTTTATTTGATTCACTTTATTGAGTTCAGCCAGAGTCTATTAATAATAAAATCCAGATTTGCCCTTGAGCATTTCAAGGTTACAAGATACCTAGTCTTCCTGTTAGAGAGCTATAAATCCAACGTTGTCGCCTATGTTTGTCCTTGTAGTAAATGGGATACCATTAATTTAGGGTTTGCAGCTAGGGGTGAAGTTAAACTACCCACTTTGGAAACGTTCATCATTTGGGGTCATTGGCCAAACTTGTGGCAAAAGGCAGAATTTTCATCATTAGGTCGTTGGCCTCTTAAATGAGTATTTTTATGTAGAAAGATACAACAAAACCGATTGACTGGTGAGAGCCCATCAACATAATATTTGAGATTTGAATTCTTTTTTTTTTTTTTTAAAGATTTTATTTATTTATTTGAGAGAGAGAGAGACAGCGAGAGAGGGAACACAAGCAGGGGGGAGAGGGAGAAGCAG